AATTATCTATGTAGGTGTCATTGTTCATTAAATCTTCTTATTTCATGACAGACTAAGTGTTTTAAATCCTACCAGTTGGGTGACAAGCCATTTGCAAAATAGATATTAAAAAATTCCAACAAATGATGGATCAAATGATTATTAGAAAAAAATTAAGTTGTTGCTTTTATATGTGGCTGTATTAATCTAGAAAAATAACTTTATTCAAGCTAGAATCTTAAAAGTGAACATAATTGTTACAATAATTTTCCTGTTCCATAAGACTAGTAATAACAGAGATGTTGCCACTACAACTCTGGAAGGACTTTGGAAAGGGACAATTGGCAAAACTGTTACAGAGAGAGCTGCATACACAAGGCAATGTTGAGAGGATCTGTGAATCAGAGGACCCAACAAGCCCAAAATGGCCATACTTAAATGGAGCTGTTAGAATGCTATGCCATTCTTCTCTTCACTCTTTGATATTGTCCCATGCCATAATCTTGCCTGACCAAGTGGAAACCAGATGTAGCACAGTCCACAGGTACAGTCAAAAAGAGCTATTTTCCCAAGACAGATAATAGCTTGAAGGATTGATTAATAAATCATATATGATAACTGACATAAAGCACTGACCACTATGGCTGGAATATAATATGCAAAACATGTTGGCAATTGTTTATTGACATATGCTATATTAAAATTATAGACTTTTGCAACTGCTCTGTCATTCTTCACTCTTTTTCTGGATATATGTACAGAAACAATCAGAATACATATGATTAGGTATGTTATAGCATTTTATAACTACCTTTGATAATACTATGTATCCCATATGAAATAATTGTCCCTTAGATGCTACTAATTTAAAAATAATTAGCAATAAAAATGATGTAAGATTTCATTTATGAAAATGTCTAAACATTTCCAATTCAAAGAAAATGAGAATTTATTGAATTTTCACTTTTTTCAAATTAGCTAATATATTTAATATTATTATATATATATACAGAAATAAGAAAATCAAATCAAAGAGTCTATGCCTATACTGATTTCTCAAATTTATACACTATTGATGACAATAGAAACATAATAATCACTTCTCAAGAGAATACATTTCTAGGAATTATTCAAAATGCTAATTATACTTACATTGTTTTATTCAGAATTTGACAATTAGCTATGTTTTTGTAACAAGATAATAGCTTAGATTCTAAATTATATATTTTAATATCTGCATTAGTGATTCAATATAATTAGTGTTAAATTACTTCTAATTTTCTTGCCATTTTGAAAATATAATAGCACAGTTTTCTTATATTAGATTCTCAAGTCAAACACTAAAACTCATCTAGTAATTTCCACTAGGAAATGTTTAGTTGATAATTTGCTAATGGAAGTTTAAATTTCTTCTTTTTATTTTTATTTCATTCAATGAATGCAAATAAATCCTCTGTAATTGTATGTATAAATTATGTGATTCTTCTGTATGTGTTTGAGGCATCAGATTATATGTGACATTTATTTCTATGGGAAATGTTGAGAGAAAACATGAACTCACAGTATTGAACACTGAGATCATTACCTTACAGATTAAGCAATAAGGAGAATCACACAAACTTTATTCAGGTTGTTGAATTATTTAGGTATAGAAAGCAAAATAAGAAAGTACATGAATGAGTATTCTCAGTCTTGACAAAAATGAAAGTAGGTCACAATGGATGATGTGATGAGATATATTTAGAAGCACTGGCACTGAGAGTTATAAGAGACAGGTTCCACCAGACTTAAAACATGAAGACTCTCAGTGATGTTGGTAAAAACAGTTTCAATGTATGAGTGCGTGCAAACCCAATTTATAATATGTTGCAAAATTATTTGGATTTGGGTAAAAAAATAGTATTCAGAAAATTATTCTGAAATTAATTACCCAAACATTGAATCTTTGCAGAAATGTAAAGCTAAGGTTTAGGTGAGTTTTGTTTTGTTCTGTTTTTCTTTTACTCTTTAATTAAACAGGTAGGAGATACCACCCACTACATTAGATTGATAAGAAAGATAAAATAGAAATAGAAAAACCTGATATGATGTAGAGAAAAACTATTAGAGCAAAGTCTTTTCGAAGGTAGGGAAGGTACATTTCTGAGTACAACTTGTAATGATTAGCTTTTGTCAGGGAAAGAAATACTTTTTTTTGGAAGAGGAAGATAAATATGAATCCAGTGTTTTCTTAATGTCATTGGGAACAAGCCAAGAATTATCTCTTCATTATTTAATACTTTAAACTGTTCATCCAGGCACAGTGGCTCACAGCTGGAATCCCAGTGGCTGAGAAGGCAGAGATTAGGAGGATTTCTTTTTCAGTCTAAGCAACATGTTAGCAAGAACTTATCTTAAACCAGAGAGCTGGGCATGGTGGCACACAGATCATGGTACAGGCCAACCCACACAAAAATGCATGACCCTTTTAATAAAAGAACTAAATAAAAATGGCTGGCTCAAGTGGCAGAGCACCAGGAGTTCAAATTCCAGTTCTATCATTCCTTAGGTAGAAAGCAGTTCAAAAGTAAAATTTTAGAGTTTTAGGTAAAGTGGGGTAGTATTTTTGCTCATTTACGAAAGAGAGAGCCTTTTGAAAATAATTGAGTATATATGAGTGGTACTATAAACTTAAAAATCATTAATGTCTATCAAAAGTATACTGCTATATTTGGGTATTTTGAGTGATTTAGCAATAATTAAGTCTGTGGGTGAAAGGACTTTCCATCAGGAAAATTGTGATAGGCATAGTTTGTAGTTATGGCTTTCAGTTAAAATTGCAATGGAGAAAGAGACAGAAAGTAACAAGTATTTACAAAGTAATGGCTAGAATTGTGGAAAACTTTTGGTGTTGGTCCAGGAATATAATTGCAGATATAAGTATCAACTCAAAGCAGATTAAGGACCTTAATATAAGAGCAGAAACTCTAAAGCTGGTGCAGGAAAGAGCAGGGATTTTGCTGGAATTATAGGCATAGTCAATGACTTCCTCAATAAAACTCAAATGGCTCAGCAACTAAGAGGGAGGATTGACAAATGGCACTACGTGAAATTAAAAAGCTTCTACACAATCAAAGAAACAATCTCTAAATCGAAGAGTCTGCCCACAGAATGGGAGAAAATCTTTGCTAGCTAAACACCTGACAAGGGATTGATAAGCAGAATATACAGGGAACTCAAAAAACTAAACTCCCCAAATATCAAATGACCCAATGAAGAAATGGGCAAATGAACTGAACAGAGAGAGCTTTTGCAAAGGAAGAAATTGAAATGGCTATAAAACATGTGAAGAAGTTCTCAACATCACTGGCCATAAAGAATGAAAGTCAAAACTATGTTAAAGTTCTACCTATGGCTACCATAAGGAACACACACACATACACAAAAAAAAAAAAAACCCAACAAATGTTGGCAGGGATTCAGGGAAAAAGGAACCATCATACACTATTGGTGGAAATGTAAATTATTACAACCACAATGGAAAATAGTATAGAGGCTCCTCAAAAAACTAAAAAATAAAACTGCTATTCTAGCAATTCTACCCCTAGGGATACACCCGAAGGAATGTAAGCTGGGTTACAACAAAGACACCTACATACCCATGTTTATTGCAACATTATTCATAACAGCTAGGTATGGAAACAGCCATGATGCCCTAGTACTGATGAATGGATTAAGAAAATATGGTATTTATTTCCAATGAAATTTTATTCAGCCACAAATAAGAATGAAATTTTGTCATTTGCAGGTAAATAGATGGAACTGGAGACCATCACCTTAAATGAAATTAGCCGGGTTCAGAAAGCCAAAAGTCAAGTTTTCTCTCATATATGGAATATAGACCCAATACAAATACAATCAATATTGTGAAAAACAGGTCATGCCAATGGAAGGTTATATATGAAAGGGGGAGGATAAAAGAAAGAAGTTAAGAAGGTGAATAAGTTTGATGTACTCTCTGTACAAGAATGAATATAGAATTTTTAAACCAGTTGAGACCACCATAAGAAAGAGACTAAGGTAGAATGAAGAAAAATAGTAATGAACCAATTCAGGTTTTAATACATATACACATGTAAATGTCACAAGAAACATAGGGAAACTCCTTTAAAGAAGCAAAAATGTCATCTGTTTCCTTCTTTTACAAAATTAGAGAACAGGAGGCAGAACAGGTCTTGCCTGGTTGGGGGGTAGGGGGGCGGAGTGGTAGTGATTGGTACCAGTGAGAGATGCAAGGAGGTAGGGAATGTGTGTAGGAGGGTGAATATGGTGCAAATACTGTGTATACATTTATGTAATTGGAAAAATGATATCTGTAAAAACTATTACAGGATTGGGAAAAGGGGGGAATAAAGGAGAATGGTGGAGGGGGTAAATTCAAATATGATTTATTTGATATATTGTAAGAACTTTGGTAAATTTCACAATGTATCCCCACCCAGGGCACAAATTTTAAAAAAAGTAAGAATAAAATTTAGGTAACATGGTTAAAAAAATGAAAAATAAGTCAGGCTAGTGGAGGGATTGATGTGGTTCAAAAGTATATAATTTAATTGTTTAAACAAGTGGAAAATTAGTGGGCTATTGAAGTAGGATCTTCTAAATGTAACACTTTAGAGATGTTCACGTTCCTGGTGAGGACAAGCATGACACTACACTCATGGTAATTGTGACTCATTGATCCAAGAAGGAAGTGGCTTATACAAAAGAAATTCAAGTACTTTATGCAGTTTTATCACACGGTCTCTGAGATCCCTCCTAAATAAATAATTCTATTGCAGCTCCAGTAATTTGGAGACAAAGAGTATTATGAGAATCAATTATTTGTAGTCAATTCCCTATTAAGATACTGTTGCTTTCCAGGCCTGTTTCTTTTCTAAGTGACTCATGGACCTCGCCAGCCCCCCTCCGAGCCTACTGAGCCCGGTGCGCCACAGGGGTGCAGCTGCTCCACTACATGTTGAGGCCCCAATGTGACAAAGCCTGCGGCCCGCTCCCCTCGTTTTTCCTGTCTCGGCGGGCCCCAGCCGCGGGCAGGTGACTGAGGCCACGCCTGAGAGGCAACTTCTCAGACTCAAGATAACCAACAAAGAACCTCTTCCCAAAAAGTTTCGTCTGAGTGAGACAGACTTCAAAGTGATGACACGAGACGAATTAATTCTAAGATGGAAACAATAGGAAGCGTATGTCCGGGCTTTCGAGGGAAAGTACACAGATCTTAACTCAAATGGTGTAACTGGCTTAAGGGAGTCTGAAGAAAAACTAAAGCAGCAGCAACAAGAGTCTGCAAGCAAGGAGAACATCCTTGTAATGCAACTAGCAACCAAGGAACAAGAGATGCAAGAGTGTACTACTCAAATCCAGTACCCCAAGCGAGTCCAGCAGCAGAGTGTTGCCCAACTGAGATCAACAATGGTAGACCTAGCCATCAACTTGTTTTTCCTAAAAATGAAAGGTGAACTGGAACAAACTAAAGACAAGCTGGAACAAGCCCCAAATGAACTAAGTGCCTGGAAGTTTACGCCTGATAGGTAAACAAATCATACTCCCCAGTCAGGACTTCCCTGACAGTCCCACTAGGAGAAAGTGTGGTGGAACAGCCAAGGACTCGTTTCCACACCAAGACTCACATTTTTTGAGCCAAAAAAACCACACTATTATACTGTCCGGCTTGTAATGGCTACTGTAAAACTTACCAGATGAACCTTGTGTTTCAGCTTTCTTTCTCTTCTCCTTCCCCTTATTTCAGAGGCCTGATGCCTTCGGACTATTCTGAAGAAGATGCCACTTCCGAAAAATTCCCCTTCTAGAACATGTAGACACTTGACAAATGTTTCTGTTTGAAGAAAATAGAAGGAGAAACAGAAGTCTTAAGTTTGTGGCACACTGTGTCTTCAGACAGTTTGGAGGATTGAAAACCTAGAGATTTTTAAAACATGAATTGAACATGTAAAATTCCAATAAAATGAAAACATGGAATTGCATCGCACAGTGACTTAGAGACACTGTATACCAGTTTTGCCAGTCAGACTGTGGACTTCATGATTGTTACTGAACTACTGGATCAAAAGGTGAATTTGCCTTGAAAGAATTTACTTGCTAAGAACCAACTTAATAGTCATCAGACAATCAAATAGTAGATGTCAATACAAATAGTGTGTATATTTAACCAATTAGCTTAAGGCTCTGTATTATTTGATGGAGCCTTAAATCGATGTGGTTTAAATCATGGTTTGTTCTTTGAATAGTTTTGAAAACTGTAGATATTCTTAACTGAGGAATGTACAAACATGGAGGTGTGGTATCAAATTTCAGGTTTAAACCATTGGAAGCATTATAAACACTCATTTCACGACTAGAATGTGTAAGGACATCGGCTGTGATGAGACTCACTGCATTATTTTTTCAGTAGTGAACTTTATGAAACCCTCATCCCACCCAACAGGCACATGTTAAAGCAGCATGGTTGCTGTTAGTGGGGGAATGTGTTCCTTCATTGTATTTGAGCCTTTTGTGTTACACTCTTGATATTAAATTAAATGTGCCTTCAAGCAAAAAAAAAAAATAAAAAAAGAAAGTGATTCATTGTTCTAAATTATTCACTTCTATTTGCCACAAAACTGTGCAGTGAGTATAATTAGACTTTGCTTTGGACAAGGTCATCTAACTTATTTTGACTAGTCGAATATTAATTGATGCTATGAAAGCAGAGGCTTTAAATGATCATATACATTTTGAATTGCTCTCTGCTGTTCTGTCAAAAGAACATGGTCAGAGAAGTCACTGGTCCAACTGAGAACACACCAGGGAAGGGCCCTGAGCCCAACCAATAGGATGTGTCATGCTCATCCTGTGAGCAGAGCACAGTGAGTCTACTTACATGCCCTTAAGTAAGTAAAACCTATGACTACTTTTATATAAGCTTAGTTAGTCTTGGAGGCTTTCTGTTATGTAGCAAAACACAACACATTCTTCCTGAGACTAAGATACATGTAGCAGAAGTTAATGATAGTCATATGTTCTTTAGAAAGTAATGCTTTACTTCCATATTTTATGTGACACAATGGGTTATACATATCACTACAATTTCATTTATTCCTTCTATTAAGAATAAGGAATATTAGATACATCGGGTAAAAAGTTATAGCTGGAGGGAGTTCTTTAAATGTATGCGTACTCTAATATTTTATGATTCTAATACAATAAATTGCCCAAAGTCATAGAGCCATTTAGGTAGCGTTTGCACTAGAAATGAGTAAAAGGAATAAGGTCTATTTTATTCTTCATTAGAAAAATCTTGTTTTGCTTCCTCCCAAGAAAGCTTAATAGAATTTAGTGACAAAATTTACCCACTTTCCTCTCAGAAAGTATATTTATAAAATAAAAGTTGTAAATTAGGCAACATTTGTCAAAGCATTTATCACTCAAAAATGTTCTGTGAAAGATTTTAAACTAAATAATCTTTTTCTATATTTTAAAGGATTCTTGTCTTATCAACAAGATTAGTGAATTGAAGTTCAGAAGTAGAGAGGACTTAATTGTAAATTTCATGCAAGTGAATTACAGCTTGGAGGGCCAGGGTCTTGAACTCAATGAATGATGCTCTACTGCCTTACCAATGTAAATATGAACAAGTGTCTTTAACTTCTATGCCTTAGTGTCATCAACTCTGCAATAATGTTAATATTATCAACCTTAATCAAGATTCATTCATTAAACATGTATAAAATGTAGTGACTGAAAAAAAAGTACTGAATGAAATGATATTAATGAATTTATTATTCTTGGTTGAAAAAAGAAGCAATACAATTCACCTACCAGAAAACTCCACTCCTCATTGCATGTAGATTCAGAACCTATAGATGAAACTTCTAATCAAATTAATATTTTCCCTTTATACTGATTGCCTTAATAGAAGAGGTCTGTCTAAATTTAGGATATGTTATATTCAAGAAACTAGAGGATTAAATTAAGCTACATAGTAATGAAAGTCAGAGTCTTTAATTCCAACACATTCTTTGAGTTTACATATCTCAGAGATTGGTAGTATCACCCATAGATGTTGTGGAGTTGTCCTTGACTTCCTATAAAAACACCTAATTAATCATAACTTGCTACATAAACTAATAATATTTTTGTATCAAAATCATACCAATAGCTCTTCTATTTCTTTTGTTCTTCAATAATAATCTATTCTCTAATTTTGGCTTTTGTAGCCCATTCCTTGTCTTGTAGGCTAACATGTAATAAATATTCAGGTAATAACTATTGAATAAATTATTTGAAACTTGGTGACCATTAACTCCAGAGCACATTTTATAAACAAATTTGACAAACCATTTCCATTTTTTAGTAATTAAAATATAACTTGTGGGATTATTGAAAGACTGATAATGTCATAGAATGTCTACATTCATCGCAAGACTGTTTCTCATTTGTAGCTACAATCATAAATTATTTTTTACTCATTGAATATACCTGGTGTCTCATTTTTACAATGTCTTCCTTTACAAAATATGAATGTTTTACTGGAATTCTACAATTCAATCCATGTTCTCCACTATAGGTAAGGCCATGTTCCCAGTTGACCAGTTTATTCCTTTGATCAAAATCTGTAATAGATTTTATTATTCTTGGAATAGGGAATAATAGTTTTTCCTATGGTTTATCAATGCATGTAAATCCTGACTCCTGAAAACATCTCCATTCTATTCCACATTTTCTACATTGCTATATTCTTTCCATAATGATTTCTCAGTTTCTGAATAATTCCATGTTCCTTGAGGAATTTGAGTTTCTTCCTATCTAAAGTTTGTATAGCTTTATATCTCAACTTGATGTTGAGGAAGGTTTCTTCCTGTGAGCAACTTTGAGTTTTCCATGACTGTTATAATGATGATAAGAGTGAATAGTAATATATTTTGTAACACTAACTACAAGTCTGAATGTTGCATGTACTCTGGGCTCCTGACACCTACTTATTATTCCTCACCAAAATTCTCTGAAGTAAGAAAACATTGAGACACAAAAAAGCAAGACATCAAGGGATATGGTTTCTTACCAAAGTACCTGATCTACTAATTGACAAACCTAAATTTAAACCTGAGTTGTATGCCTATGTGTTCTTTGTTAAAATGTAAATGTAATTCAAAGCATAAGCATAATTTGTAACAGACTCTATGATCCATGAAAGAAAAGATCTTATTTAGAATAACTCTGAAGCTCATAAAATTTCTTAGTATGAAGGGTAGTTCAAAATAACCAGAGAAGTGAAGTCCTTTCATGGCCTCTTAATCAGGTCCCACTTATATATTTTAGTCTTGCATCCTGTTCCTGATGCCACCTGTCATAAAAAAATCAAATAGGACACCATCTGGGACCAGATTTCTACACAGGTGGAAGAAAGAAGCATTTCCACGGAGACTGAGAGCTCACACAATGGTGACAGAACTCTTACAGCTGTACATAACGAGGAATAGCCTTCAAGGGCCAAGTACTTCTTCAAAGAAAAACGTTTCCAACAAATAAGAATCTGAAATTGGTACTACTTAACAATTTTTGAGCTGAAAAGAAAGTACAGCTAAGTGTATTAAGATAGCCATATTCCCAGAAATATCACAAAGAAGTAGTGATTTCTATACTAAGTCAATTCCAGAGCCTTTGCAATGGACTGTTAAAAATTAACTTTCTTCCACAAAGTTCTACCAAAGTTTCTTCTCTCAAGAATAGGCATGGGAATTTCTGGATGAGGAAATCTTTCCCAAGTATCATTAAGATCAGTCAGATTAGCAGTTTAAGGATTCCACTCTACTTCCAATGAAACATCTGTGCTCTTGTTCCTTATGTTATATAGATAGAGTAGGTAGGTGTCTATTATTTCACAATTTACACTTAAAATTCATATATATAAAATACATGTATACATGATATATAAAATTACTTAGAACTACTTCACTATTGTACATTTGGTTTATTTCCCATGATATATATGAGTCATGAGGAAATAGACTAGAGATCCTGATACCCGAGAAATGGTGTCTGTTGATATTGCTTTGAGTTGTATAGCTGGATATGAATTTGGCTGTCTTCTGTTAGGAAATTTTTAGTGCATTTACATGTTATATCTTTAATTAGTGTTAAGAAAGTGAAGAATTGGAACTGCAAATATGGAAATAGGTCTATATGTGAGACACCCACATGTACTTGTATCCATGCCTACCAACTGAAATGTGTTTGGAGGAGAGAGAGGAGGGCTAGTAGTCAACATAAATTAGCATGCTGGACACAATCAAAATGATTTCCCCGAGGGACTACAACTATGCAATCTTGTAACTCTCCCTTTTTTGATGTAAGTGCCCACCTCTGGTAATAGCTAGATGCTCAATGCATAGTTGAAAAGTGACTCAATATATCCCATTTCCTCTACCTTTGCAATATTAATTTCTTATTTGTAGAATTTCTTATCATTCCTCACATTTTAGTACAAAGTTTCCATACTTTGCAAAGACCTTTTTGACTTTCAGAAGTAAACACAGTTATTTCAGTCATTCAGTACTCTATACAATGTCCTACATTCATTTGAAGGTAGGAATTTGGTTTAATACAAGCTTCTTAAAGAAAAAGTGTGTATTCTCATCTTGTCTGTCATCTCAAAATCTAGCATAAAAGACAATACAAAATATCTGTCATATCATTGGATGAATGTCTACATTTCCCAAAATAAGGTGTTTGTATTCTCCAAGAGGGACAAAGTTATAAATTTATAAAAATAAATACATCAAAATTAATTTCATTGCATTTTTAGCCAAAG